AATATAAAACAATTTATTTATGTATATGTGTGTTCTCATCCAAGCCAGTTTTTAAGCCATGTGCCACTAATAATAAGATAATAAGACTATAACCAATCATATATTCACCTGCTGATGCCATTAGATGATTAAGAGACCAGGGATCAGGCACGTTTTCTGTATTTCAAAATACTCTAAAACCATTAAGTTATAATTTAAGATTGATAAGTCTTCAATCTCAGAACTCCACACTCTAGCAGGGCAGGGGAAACAAAGTTTTATCTTTATACTCAGGGCAGGGGTTGGCAAGCTTTTTCTCTAAAGGCTCAGATAGTATTTCAGTCATGGTGGGCTATGGGGTCTCTGCCACAACTTCTCAGCTCTGCTTTTGTAGCAGGAAAGCAGCCGTAGACAATACATCAGCAAATGAGTGTTGCTGTCCTCTTCTACAACTTTATTTGTAAAAACAGACTGCAGGTCAGATTTGGCCCATACTCTGTAGCTGGCCAGCCTTCTTTTACAGATACAGGACACCTGTGCATGTTAAACACACACTCATATCTGCATATGTAAGTAGGAGTATGTATGTGTGCGTTAGCACACCAAATCTCTGTCTGCCTATCCCCATAGCCATGGTGGCTTCTTGGGCATGTGATCAGTGTGCTCATACAGGGCCCTGTGTTTAGAAGGGCCCTGAACTTGCAGTTTAATGCTCTGTGGTCAACGTCTTAAAATTCTTAATGATTTTATATTGGAATTTGTGTTTTATAGGTGAAGGCTGATGGTACAATGGAAGCCCCACTCACATCTGTGGTCTTGTCTCTCCACTGACTCATGGCAGCCCTGGGGCACTTCTTGGACACTTGTTCCCTTCCAGCTTCCTCTTCCTGGCCCCTGCCTTGGGACCTTGCTGCTCTCCATGTTGGGTGGGACCAGGTCATGGCAGTGTTAGGGGGAGGCATTCATTCTGCCGTTATCCTTTACCTCTGGCGGGAGCCTGGAGGTGAGCCTGGGAAAGGTTGGGTTGAGTGTGTACACCCCTAATGCCTGAGGGTAGGACATGGAGTTGACTATCCCTCCTCCCGCCTGGAAGCACTACAGCACACTCAACGGACTCAGCATGGAGCCTCTGCCCACTCTGACCCCTGTACCAAGTGTCTCCCTGTGCGGAGGCTGCAGTCTCTAGGGGGCTGCCCAGCTGACCACCTTGGGATGGAGAAGACTGACTCTCTCCCCTCCCCACCAGGGCATGGTGTATGGGTTCTGTGGCTAGTGACATGGAGAACCTAGAAACCATGGATTCATCTGTACACTCAGTCATGGGGCACCTATGGGGGTCTGCGTTCCCCCCACCATGAATATCCCTGTACTGGAGGGAGTCCAACATTAAATAGCAAATAAAAACACCACGACATTCAGAGGGAGGGAGGAAGAGGGAGAAGGGGAGAGAGAGAGAGAGTGAGAGAGAGAGAGGAAAGGCTGCCTGCAGGAGAAAGGAAAACGTTTTGTAATTCAGTACCTTTAACATCACTTTTTTCCTGCTTTTTGAACAAAGGGCCCTGTGTTTTCATTTGGTACTAGGCCCTGATCAAAGATTAGGGGCTGTAAAGAATCATCTTCTGAGACTCATCTACCAAAATGGAAGCTAATAAAGAAAATTCCACTTATGCATCACTCATTTCAGAGTCAGCTAACCTTCATACCGCCAGGGTAATAACAGGTTTCCTGCAGTCTTCCTAAATGTTGAATGTAAGGCTCTGAAGTTAATTATGTATTTTGGATTTCAGACTAAGGGCCTCCTTTCAGAATATGATGATTGGGGTTGCTGCAAGGTAGCCATTTCCTTCAGACAGTTTGCTACAGGATTAACTCATTTCCTTAGAATGGTGATGAAGTACTTTATAAATGTAAAGCACAATCAAAACATTATGCATGAAATTTATTGATAACAACAAAGAAAGTTGAAACTTTTCTAAGATTTCCCTTTATTTCCTATTAAAGAAGGTAACACCATAACATTCTAACATACAAAAACGTAGGTTTCCCTGATTTGAATAAACTAACTGTAAAACAAACACTGTAGAGATGGTATTTGAATATGGGTTGGGCATTATAGGATATTAAAGAATTATTAATATTTTTAGGTATGATGATGACATAGTGATTGTGAAAAAAATCCTTCGTAGATGCACACTGAAGCATTTATGGGTAATAACACAATGTCTGAGATCTGCTTTACATACTTCAGCAAAAGCAGAAGAGAGGGAAGACAGAAGAGGAAGAGGAAGAGAAGGTGGAGAAGAAAAGGATGACAAAGATGACAAAGAAGATGAAGATGACAATGAAGATGAAGATGAAGGAGAGAAAAAAATGTGAGGTAGATGGAATAGGATTGGCAAAATGACGAGCCTAGGTGATGGAGATGTGGGAATTCATTATAATAGTCTCTTTATCTTCATATATGTCTTTAAATTCCCATAATGGAGTGTGTGTATATGTATAACTGTTGTCTACAAAAAATTTCTAATAAAAATCAGGGCACAGATTTTTCATTCTCCTTCATACCAAATGTCTTTTTTTTTTTTTTTTTTTTAGTGCGAGAAGCATCCTCTGAGGCTGACAGGAGCTCTCTAAACTGAAGAGATACAAAGGAGTTGATGGGAAGGATAATCTGCCCATCAGTTCCTAACACATTAAAAAAAAAAAAAAAGAAAAGGAGAAAATGGGAGGAAGAGATTGCCATTGTTACTCTCCTAACCTTTCCTTCTAATTATGCCAGAGTCAAGGTTTGGGTCACAAGGAAAATGATTTGGGTGGTCAACCATTTGCCCTATTTTGTATACATCAAAAAGCTCTTGTTCTCACCACATTCCAATCTGACAGGTTCCCATCTACTTTAAAAATGTAAGAAGCCAGATTAACAAAAATATAAATAAAATGACTATATTACAAGGAACCCCCCTTTTTTGTAAACATAGAGATAGCCTTCTTGTTATTCTGAATTGCATGATATGTAACACTTTAAAAGTAAAATATGCTTTATATTATTATAGGTACTTCAGATAAACATTCAACATGCCCAGCTTTTAAAAGTTAAATGTAAATTTCTCTCTTGAGTGCAGATGGTGGCCAAGCAAAGTAGCTCTTCAGTCATAAAGACAGAAGGTCAGGTCATGGCTGAAAGACCAAAGAACAATTGCTGCTTTGCTACTCCAGATCACCAATGGAATGAGACACCACTACTTTCTTTTTTTTTGAAACTGTCTATTCAATACAAAATAGTTACAAGGAATACGTATAAGATTTCCTCAAATTATGTCCAAGAAAAAATACTAATAAGCACATCACATCTCTGACATCCTAAAAAGGCACATCTCTATCTAAAAATAATACTAAAATCATTATAAAAACTGTCAGTGTTTCACTATTTAGCAGGAAATATTTACAAATGAAAACTGCTCCTTTTATAATCCTGCAACTTTAGCCTCCACCTCATTAGTGGTTAATTAAAATGAGATATAGCACTAAAAGACAAATATTACAAATACTTCTACACATGCTATTCATTTACAAGGGATATTATAATCTTATTATTCCTATAGTGTTCTTTCTCCTAGAATATTAAAATGTAATTTTTAAATAGCTCAGAGACACTTCCTTACTGTATTTTTCCAGTTAGTCCAAAATGTTATGCTGGCAGATGCTACAGAATAACAGAAAAGGTATATAATAATGCGTGAGCATGCCAATATGATACTTTTTTTAAAAAGTCGTATAATATATCAGAAAAGGAAAGTTCTGTGTCGGTTAGTAATCCTAGATCTTCAGTTCCTGATAGAAAGGATTTTTAATTCCACTATCAGGCACGCCCCCAACTGGATGGAATGAAATATCAACAGTTTCATTATTTGTACATGTTAACAAGGAAAATTCTTCTGAAAATTTAAAACTCTTTAGAACACTTTGAATATAGTGATACAAAAGCATAATTTGATTTTGGTTGTTTAGATTTTAATTTAATGCCAGGGATTTCAGCTACAACTTGAAAAACTTTTTGTACTAAATTTCATTATCACTTTCATTTTCAATACTTTTCCCAATTGTCTTTGCATCATTTGCATAGAAGAGTTGATTGGGTTGAAAGGGAGATATGTTGGAAAATACGGTAAAAAGTGTTGAACTAGAAATATATTTCAAAAAAATTTATTTAGGACTACTCACTTTTAAACCATAGTGATTTCTTTAAAATAATGACACTGAGAACAAAGTCTTATTTTAATTGAATAGATTTCTCAACCTGCTTTCACTGAATAAAAAGAATGAAAGCGTTCAATGTTTTGTACTATAACAAAATTAGAAAATCAAAAGTCAGCCTATTAGAACTGCCTCTCTAAAAACTTTATCCATGTTGTCAATTAAAATTGAAGTATCTACATGATCTCAACAAAGATATAATGTAAAACATCTGTTCAAACTGAAATTGAAGTAAGTAGCAGTTTTTTTCCTAACATTTCCAATTTTACTGTATTTAGGTTTCCTGAGCAAACGTATTCATGGTTATCTTAGTTAAAACTGGTTTCACTCTGCCAACGATCAATTTGATTGACATATTTACATATCAACTCATCTCATCTCACAAATTTTAAACTTTTTCACTTAAAATTGGATTCAAGTTGGCATCTTTAAAGAACTTTATGTACATATATTTTAGGTTCAAAATGAACATTAGAACATTTTCTTTTACTTTTGTAAGTAATAGATACACATATCCAAATGTATATTTATGACCTGTCAGATTGTAATTTCATATGCATGCAGTTGTATTCGCACAATTTCATGTGAAAGGTGATAATTTTAGGCAACTGTAGATGAAATTCTTTTAACAGTATAAATTGGATCATTCCATTAGTTAGAAACAATATAATAGAAATGAATGACTTAGGAATAAAACCATAACCGTTTCAGAAAAAAACATTAGTTATGTCTTTAATTGCTGCAGTTACGCTTGGATCAAATCTTACCTGATCTTTAATTTCAAGATCCCTTTTAGTTTTTGTTCTGTACTCTCTGTGCTCCTTTTCTGCCTCATCCTTCTCCATTTTGGTTTTATTCAATTGATAGCGCATTTCTCCACACACCTGTTAGATTATAAAAACTAGATCAATAGCTGCTGGAATCTACCAGGCAAGGCCTGCAATTAGATCTTTTGGTGCCCCCTAGAGGTCATATAAATAAAACACAATAGAACTTTTCTAAGAATGGCATTTTCTATTAGCATATTCAATATATTCTGTTAAGATGTGGAGGCAGTATCAGATGTTATTGAGTCTTACAATTTCAAATGACAGATAAAGAAATGCATAACCAGGGAATTTAAATGACATATACAAGATTTTTCATGTAAAATAATAGTTTCAATTGCATATTATCTAAAATGCACTATCATCTTGCTTTTAACTAGGTAAAATTAGTAATTAAAATATTAAGCTATGTCATTATTCATTCAAATTGTCATGGTTATACAGATACTCTATATTAAAAACTTTCCTTTAAACTCTTTATCAGTTAGGCTTTTATTTAAGGAAATTTATAAAGGTATTTTTCTCTCTGCTAATAGACTATATTATCAATATTTATGAGTAGAGTATTACCCAGCTGGTATTTACCGTAGGCTTTGCAGATTATGTCAATCTTACCATGCACAATACTATGTATTTAAATTAAGAAAGTTAAAAGTCATAGACTGCAACTAAGCCCACTCTGCTTTTAAAATAGCTATGGCATTCAACATAAAATGAAAATACACATGTAAGTGAAACGACTTTAACATATTGTTAAATAATAAACACACTCAGTATCTTAAAATTGTGTATCATTCTTTATGTAATCTTTTTTTTCAATCCAGGGCATCTACAGACAGATAAATACATTTGGAAAATACAACTAGCAGATAAATCTAAATAAAGAAGTTATTAACTTTTGAGATAACTGAGAACTTGTAGAGAGATCAAGTAATACAAACATCTGCTAAGTCAGCTTCTAAGTTACAAATACAAGTTTTTAAAAATCATGTATCATCTAATGGCTATACCTGTTTGAGACTTCACAATTTTGGTAGTTCTCCAAAAATGATCATTAGAATTTTAGAAATTAGTTTCATCATTATTGAAGTATTAGAATCTTATTAAACCTATATGCATTTCCTATGTTCAAATAAAAAATATGTTAAAAATAAACTAATCTGTGTTCAAAAATTATAGTGACAAGACAGAAGAAAAAGTCAGTAAGCTTCTCCCCAGTGACCCTCAGAAAGCTAAAAAAAGAATAAAATTACTACAAATTGTATCTGAAATTCAAATACCTTCAATGTGCAAGAGTTGCTCCTTCCCCTTTCAAAAATATTACTAATTCACAAAAAGTTACTAACGCTAAATAAAATTTAAAAATTAAGAATTACAGAAAAAAATTAGAGGAGGCCTAATTGACTTTCTTCACTATTCCAATCTATTTGATTTACATATAGGAATAAAATTTAAAGACCACAATTATAATACCAGAACATAACAGTTATACAACCATGGTGTTTAAAACCCAACACCAGTACAAAATTATTATACATAATAAATATCTAAGCATTAGGTCCTGTTTAAAATGATTGTACCCCTTAATTTTATTTTTAAAGTTTCCTTGCCTCACTAATTTCAGTTTAAAATGCATTTGCTAAGTTTATCTGTAACACTTAAATTTCATCTAAAATAAATGAACAAATTAAATTTAACTAGAATTATATTATCCCAGGGTTGGAAGCAGGCTTAAGGCACTCCTCTGATGCTTGAGTCCTTTTGGACAGTTCTAAAGACAAGTAATCATTCTTTACTGTACCATATTTCAACAGAAAGTTCTCTCCTTATAATGAGCTGAAAATCCTCATCATACCTTTCACCTATCAATCCAGGTTAACCATTTCCATCTCTCTGCAGCAGTTCCCTTACTTCTACCCCTACCTCCACACAAACATCAATTATATTGGCAAATACGGTATTTTAAGCTTCTACATTAGCTAGCTTGAATTTTAGAAAGCAAATGAAGAACTATATAAATTCAAGGAAAAAAAAGAAAAAATAGGCTTCCTTTCCTAATATATATTAAAGTTAATTTAAATTACTGAGTTATAAAACAATAATGGCATTAAAAATGTGTCCAAATTTAGGAAAATATGTTGAGAAGTAAAATGCAGTATGAAATGGGTATGCATTTTAATAAAATCATCTGTATATGTACTGATGAAAAATGAATTGATTTAATTTATTACATCATGCATGTCCATATTTAGTGACTTAGTTTTAAAGCAATGATTACTGAAATCTACACAGACTTCTAGTGTTTCTTAAACATGTACCTTAGCCAGTTAAGATCATTAAGCATTTTAGCTCTTGGTTCACAAGTTTGTGATGCCCATAGTGCAGACACAGTGATACCACAGTGTAAAGTATAAATTTAAGGACCAACAGAATGAGAAGTTGTAGTATTAGAATCTTGATTTTAGAGAACAGGTCTGAAAGAATGAGAGATGGAGAATTATGTTAAGCACACTTTTCATGTTATAAATAAATACATGTCTTTTAGTATTATTGTGAAGACCAAACTTACGCAAAAAATTACTCCTAGTTGACTAATTCAGATGTACAAGTTTTATCAGGTATTCAATAATTAAAGTAATAAAACTTGTTAATTTACAGTTTTGTCTCAGCAACTTAATCCTTAAGCTCTTTGAGGACTTTATTTGTGTCTAATTCATCTTTGTATTTGCAGCACCCAGAAAAGGGCCTGCTGATAATAAGTAAATGTTTGCTGAATGACCATTATGTGGACCTTTATTATCTTGAAATAACAAAATTTTTATACCCCAGACTTCTTTTTGAGCTTTTAACACTAGGAAAAAATTTTCAACTAAAATATTTAAGTAATTAGTAAACTAAACTCTCTCTTTGTACCTTTGTGACATCCATTTCCCGGGAAGCAAGCTGGTTTTGAATTTCCTCTAGTTGATTAACAGCTGAAATTTTCTCTCTTGTAATCTTTTCCACCTGAGCCTCCAGTTGGGCAATACTCTGAGATAGGGTCAACGTCTGTACGAGGAAAAAAAGTCCTAAGTGATAATGTCATTTGACAAAAATATTTTAAATATCTTGAATTAATAGAGTCTCAGCATGGACACTGGGCTCTCTCTGTAAGTCATTTCTCTGTGGATTGGGTATCTCCATTGCTCTGCATTCTCAATTCATCTCCCTTGACTATCACCTCACGTAATTTTCTTTTTTTTCTGGTGGTGAGAACTTTTAAGATTTGCTCTCTTAGCAACTTTCAAATACACAGTACAGTACTGTTAACTATAGTCACCATGCTTTTTAAATATTAAAAATAGAATCAATCAGCAGATATTAAGAAACTTCCATATGCTATACTAACCCTGTAAGAATACCGAAGTTTTATGTCCTTTAAGAATTTCTAACCACCTTATAAAGATATGCCTAATATCTGAAAAATTCAATAAGACTATAAAATAGTATTTTTTAAAAATACGAAGTATTTTAGAAATTTTGTACTATCGTAGAACCAAGAATAAAGGTGCTGAATTTATCCTCCATGCTAAAATATATTTCAAATTTTCTTGATATATTATTTCTCAACTAAAATTATTTACATGCACAGTACTTAACACATCACACTGTTTTTTGTTGTCTGTTTCCTCATTAGACTAGAAGTTCCTCAAGAGCATGTTCCTCAACAGGTATATGTTTAACGTTTGATGAATGAATGAATCAGTAGAATAAATGGCTTTTCTGAGGGACTATATGGATATCAGGTTCTTAGTTTTTCTTCCCAGGGTCAGAAATGTTTTCTAGACCTTAGATTTAACCTTTATAGCTTTTGGTTTGCAATTAGATTTTACTCTGCTCCAGTAGGTCAAACTTTTCTAGGCTATTAATTTCTCATTTGTATTAGCAGTTTTAAAGTGATGAAGAAATGCTACCTTGCCCCAGATCAAAACATATGGAATAGCTATCAGTTTTTAATTAGCTAAAATAAAAACTGATAACAAATTTGAAATAATATTTGAAATCTGTCATTGTACACTAACATGGGTGTGAATTCAGTTTTACAACTGAAATCAATAACTAAAATTTTGTAATAAAAATCAAGATTACCTTTGTCAACTAATTAAAATTGACAACATGAAAATAATGAGCCCCAGTAGCTACTTTCTAATTTAGACGGTAGATGTATTAATTAACATTCCTGGGGATTGTGGAGAATTGTACCTTTAACTTATGGCTGTTTACATGTCCTTCTTTCATCAAGAGATTGGCTACAAATCTAATTTGCACATAAAATTACTTTTACTAATGCCAAGCTACAAACTATCCTTATGCAGATTACAATCTGAAACAAAAATTAAAGGTCAAAAGAAGTTAAATGTAACAAATCAAAAATATTAATTGAATTTTCTTAATTTAAAACTTCAAGTTCATGAGTAAGCATATTATGAATATGTAATTATAGCTTTTCTGGAACCATACAACAATAACAAACTTTAATTACCAGCTACTAAAAACCATAGATTACTTATTTATGTGGATCTATAGTAAACATATTAATATTGTGTGGTTTTTTTGAAGTGAATGGGCAGACATTTATTTTGCTAATGGTAAATTCTGAGTCAGTTTCTATAGCATGTAACAAATCATACACCTTCCATATGATTCCTTCCCTCTGCCACCCATCACTTCATTCCTCTGCCCACTACCTGTCTGCTCCCTTCTGTCACCCACTTCTCAAGGCCTCCCCTCCTGTTGTCACACCTTCTTTTTCTCCATGCCCACCATCTGGAAGTCAACATTACACTGCAGGAGCTTCTCCATCCACATCTGTTGCAGGGGCAGAAGTAACACAGACAGCTGCAACACTGCTGGATGTCCAGGGTGTTGACATCAGATAAGTCCTTTAAACTTTGACAGGGGCAAGCAAGAGACAAGGACACCCAGGATGGGAGAGCTTGATAGAAATCTCTACACTAAAGCAGTCCCTAGTGTACTGAACGTGGTATAAAGTGGCATTCCTCATAAAAAAAGGTACAAGAATTAAGGATTCTAGCAATGGCTATTATCAAGGGAACCAACTGAGAAAATACACAAACCAGAGGGGGCATTCAATAAATAGATGATTGAAGGACTGATTGAAGGAACAAACTTAGCGGTTTAGTGCAACCAAAGACCATTACTGATGCCAACAGGCAAACTCACAGCAAGAACTGTTCATGGGGGAATGATTCAAAATCTGTCTAGGTAGAAGGCATCTGCTCTCCTAGAGCTTCCCACACAAATGAAATTTTTAAGCAGTAAGAAGAAAGGAAAGAAGAAAAATAATAAAAAGAAGGAAAGAAAATCTACAAGTCTCATGAGCATTCCTACCACTAGGAAAGCAGGGACACCTGCTCCAGCACTAACCATGAGAAGTTACAACGTTATGATTAATTGTTCAAACACCCTATTAAATTAACTTCCTGTGCTAAGCAGTGTGATAATTTTATCTTTTAATTCCCTTTGGAAAGGAATGTATTGGATTAACTTTCAGTTGAAAAAATGAAAACTTAAGTAATGTTCTCAAGTTCATTTCAAGCTAATAAATAAAAAGTAAAGCTGGACTTTATATTAAAATTTGTCTGCTTTTACTAACACAAAGGTCCAAGAAATCTACCCAATAGGGCTAATTCTCTCTTTCACTAGAGTAAGAATAATAGCCACAAGCTAAAATTTGTTAAATGGTCTAACCTAAGCCAGGTATTATATTAGGTACTTTCAAAACATTATCTCATTTAATCCTATCAATTCCTTGAGTAGATCAACCAAGGATCTACTACTCTGAAATTTGGAGAGGTTAAATGAATTGTTCAAGGTCACATAAAGGTCAATTTGGATTCAACACTAAATCCTTTTACTTCAGAGCTTCTTTCTGCCATTTTCTGTGAGAGTACTTGCTTCAGTGCTAGGATCACTTTCAGCTCTTTATTCATACATCTTTATTTAGGGCAGGATCTTCAGATTAAATGTCAAATAAGGCTTAATGGAGGCAAAAAGAAAAAAAGGACTCAGACTCAGAAATGCATTGTAGGACTTCCCTGGTGGCACAGTGGTTAAGAATCTGCCTGCCAGTGCAGGGGACATGGGTTCGATCCCTGGTGGGGGAATATCTCACATGCCGCGAAGCAACTAAGCCCATGAGCCATAACTACTGAGCCGGCACTCTAGAGCCCGCGAGTCACAACTACTGAGCCCGCGTGCCACAACTACTGAAGCCCACGTGCCTAGAGCCTGTGTTCCGCAACAAGAGAAGGCACTTGAGAAGTGCCAATGAGAAGCCCACGCACCGCAACAAAGAGTAGCCCCCGCTCGTCACAACTAGAGAAAGCCCACGTGCAGCAATGAAGACCCAATGCAGCCAAAAATAAATAAATGAATAAATAAATTAAAAAAAAAGAAATGCATTGTATTTCTGTTAACACTTTCATTCATGAAATAATTATCAGTTTAAGAAAGTTATACATAAAAGCACCTGGAATATTCCCTGGCACAGTTCAGACTTCCTTTATTTCTTATCAGGAATTCTCATCAACATATTTTTACATAGTAGAACTACTCAGCAAGGCAAAAGTTTCCACTAAACAACCCAGAAAAAAAGTCTCCTAGGCATGAACAGTAGCTGATCTTTGCTCTTGATGCCATTCATTCTCTCTCTCAAAGCTCAGCTTGCAACTTTACCTCCCTCCATATCTTACTCATGTTGGTACATCTCCCCCACACTCTGCATTTCTAAATCCTGCCTGTTTTCTTGAAGCTCAGTTAAAATGTCACCTTCTCCACCAAGCGTTCCATGATCTCTTGCAGACAGAAATCTGTTCTGATCCTCTGAACTCTCAGTATTTTAGTCATGCCTTTCCAATGGCATGGAGTCTTCTTCCTTCCATTTGTATTCCCCTTGTATTCATTCAATAAATATGTACTGAACACATTTTATGTGGGAGGAATGTGGCCATAAGGCAATAAGGATGTTAACAAACCATATATGCAAGGGAATCATAGTAAATTAGGGGAGATAATTCAATAAGACTTTGCAATACATTGAGTTATTGAAGCCCATAGGAGGGGCTCCCAAAAATTTATCATTGGGAGACTGTGAGAAGAGGTGGTATCGAGAACTCTGAAGGATCAGTCAGAGAGGCCAGAGGAAGATTCCTCTAGGCAATGGGGGTGAGGTGGGGGGTGTGGGGATGGGAGGGGAGGGGCAAAGCCCTGAAAAATCCTGAAATGAAAAAACAGTATGGCAGACTGGCATGTTTGCACATTTGAGGAAGTGCCAGTAGATCAGTATGGTGGTAATACAAGGAAGAAAAGAGAAGGGAGATGAGACTGGAGAACCAAAGAGAGGGAAAAAATGTACAATCTTTATGCTATAGTAAAAGATCGGGTTATAGAGAGACAAGAAAGGATTTTAAAACAAGAGACTGACATACTGACGTGTTCATTTTAGGAAGATCATCCTTGGATCTTTGGGTAAGAGAACAGATAAGGAGGTGAGACAAGAAGCAAGGGGCTTCTACCACTTGGGGCTGTAGGAATCACCCAAGGGTGAGACATGGAGAGCAGTAGGATGGAGAGACAGGGCAATGTAAAATCGGTAAGGGCCTGAAACTCTAGAACTTGGTGACTTGATGTACAGGGTGAGGGAGAAGGAGGCAATCAAGGATGACAGCAAGATTTCTGAGTTGGGCAAATGGATGAATGAATAGTAGTTCTACTATGAGAGGGAAGATGGGAAGTGCAGCTGGTTTGGGGGCTCACTAGAGAGCTAAAGATTTAGGAATCAATACCATACATATGAAATTAAAGCCACAGTACTGCTAAAGACATCTAAATCTAAAGCTCTCTGCTAAACTCTAGAACCTCCTATCAAGGTGCTTTCTGGATGTGTCTCCTTCATTATCTCAAAGGCAGCTTAAACTCAGAGTAACCTAAAAGGCACACATCATCATTCTCCCAAAACAAGAATATGATTCAGGGCTTCCCTGGTGGCGCAGTGGTTGAGAGTCCGCCTGACGATGCATGGGACGCGAGTTCATGCCCCGGTCTGGGAGGATCCCACGTGCCGCGGAGCGGCTGGGCCCGTGAGCCATGGCCGCTGAGCCTGCGCGTCCGGAGCCTGTGCTCCGCAACGGAAGAGGCCACAACGGTGAGAGGCCCGCGTAGCGCAAAAAAAAAAAAAAGAATATGATTCAGAGAAATCAAAGAAACAGAACCTTTTAAGGAGAATAAGAACGAAAAAATATTCACTAAAAATAGCACAAGGAGGTCTCCAGTGAACACAGCAATAGTAATTTCATCGGCTATGGGCACAGAAGCTGAAATGTAGTGGTCTGAAGAGTGAATGAGCGGTAAGAAAATGAAGATAACATGTATGGACAAATCTTTCAAGAAACTTGACTATTAAGGGGAAGAGTAAAGAGGGATATGGAATTACTAAGGTGGCTTCCAGCCTTGGCCACACATTGGAATCACCTGGACAATTTTTTAAAATACTGACCCCTAGATCCTACCCTCAGATATTCCCCCATAATTCGTTTGGGATGCAGATTGGGCAATGAGAGTTTTGGAACTTCTGTGTAGCCAAGATTGAGAATGACTTGATAGAAGAAAGATTGGTTTCTTTCAACAGGTGAGAAAAGTTTGAGACTATTTTCCTGGTGATAAGGAAAAGGCTATAGTGAAGGACAAAGGTTGAAGATTCAGAAGAGAGTGGGGAACTAATGGAAATAGGTCACTGAGGTGGTGGAAGGGGATGGGATTCAGAGCAAGAAGAAAGGATTAGGATTAAGCCACTCCCATTCTGACACGGTTGCAGTACAGGTGAAATTTTACTTTAGGCAGAGGTGGGGGGGGATAAATAAGGTGATTACCATCTAATGGCTGTCAACTTTCTTCGTTAGGGAAGTAAGGCTCTCTGCCGAGAATGAGGGGAGAGGTGGTATGGTAGAGAATTTGAGAGGAATAAAACTGATTTGAAATAGTCCTTGAAAAATGTGTCTTAGATACCAACACTTCCCACCTAGACTACTATAATTACCTCCCACCTGATCTCCAGGGGTTTATTCTGGTCCTCCTTCAAATCTATTGACAGATGATTTTTCTCAAATATAAATGGGATCACGACACTGCCCAATTTACTGCCATTCAATGGTTTCCCCTTCGCTTTTGGATAACATTTAAAACCTTTCACATGGATTTTAAGACCATTCATGATTTGGTCCTTACATACTTCTCCAAACTCATCTTCCACTACTCTGGCCCTTACTTCCTATGCTCCAGTCACCTGAGCCCTCTCTAAATTCCTAGAAAGTATGATGCTTTCTAGCTTCAGAGCCTTGGGAGTGTTGTTTTCCTGGGTCTGAAACTCTTCCCCTCAACTCTTCACCTGACCACTCCTACTCAACTCTTTTGAGCCTCATTTGCAAAACCTCTTTCTTAGGAAAGTCTTCCATGACTGCCCAGACTAAGTTATATTTGCCTGTTACACATTCTCATGGTACCCTATACCGTACCTTCATGCCTTTATCATAGTGGTAAAAACTCATTTGTGGAAGTATGTGTTTAATGTCTACCTCTCCCACAAGTCTATAAACTTCATGACGTAACTGCATTGGTCCTGTGACTACCACATTCCCAGGACCTCCAATTAATATCTGTTGAATCCTGAATGAACGGGAGAGAGAGGAATGCATAGGAGGACTGCTAGAAAGCACCAACAGAATGGTGGACATTGAACCATAAGTGTATGGTGGTGTCATCTGCAAGATTATAGGATTTTTCTTCACTAGCTGAGATCACCAATCCAGGTCAGAGAATGTAGATAACCAGACTGACCTATAAGTAGGTTTTGACAGGCACAATTTTTTTAAAAAAGGATAAGAAAACAAGGGAGTTTATCTTGGCTCAGGTAAGGTAAGACTTAAAACTCATTGGGCAGAATTTGTGATTTTTCTCTTTATATAGCCTTAGGCTTACACACTGCCTTGCACATGGCAGATACTCAGTAGATATTTGCTGAATGAGTTAATTACCACATGTTTAAGACAGCATGTAGGTATAAGCTGTGAGCCTGCTTTGAAAAAACAGAACATGTAACCATTGTTTGGGTTACTTGAGGGACCACATCTTGCTCAATTTTATTCAACTGTAGCAACTTTAAAGCTAGCTTGTATTCTAGCTTGTTACTAAACTTGTTACTAAGCTTGTTACTCTTTTGCAAACACTGCCCATCTCATGTTATCTGTTCCTTTTGACTCTAATTTCTCCCTTCCATGTATTCATCTGGTTATAGTCATTATTCATCATGTAATTTGCTAGAACCTATTTTGTACAGAGTATACCATCACTTTTTGTTTTGGTTACTTGGTTTCTTACAAGTGTTTTACCTTCTTAAAGGCTAATTTAGGAGTGGGGGATGAAATGGGGGAGTCATCTCTCCTTGATTTAACCAAGCTTGAAATAAAATCTGGATATCTGCAGAGCACCTGCTCTCCTCTGACAAACAGAAAGGGAATCAAACACAATGGCAGGATTAGAGTAAATTTCACATTTTCCTATCATGAAATCTAATTGATTATTTTCTTTGGAAAGGTCAGAGAATATAACTTCTATTGAGAAACACATTGAGGAATAGAAAATTTTTATGAACTCTAAGTTATAAGCAACTTGACTACTTAAATGGTTTAAACATGTAAGATCATTCGAGGGAGGCTCAAGAGGGAGGTGATATGGGGATATATGTATACTTATAGCTGATTCATTTTGTTGTACAACAGAAACTAACACAACATTGTAAAGCAATTATACTTCAATAAAGATATTAAAAAATTTTTAAAATAAAGATCATTCAAGAATTGCAACCTGCAGTCTCATCAATTATATCACCACAAACATTTCTTCTGCAGTGTCGATAACAAATTGAACCCTTTAAATACCTTTGAGCCCATGTCCTCTCTTTCTTTTGTTATTTCTCTTTTCATCATCTCTTTCTCAAAGGCTCTTTTTTCTCGCTGAGATGCGAGTTCTTTCTCAAGTCGCTCTGTCTGCTTCTCCAGTTCATTCTTCAACTGTTCGCACTGGATTAAAGCCTGCCAGAATAAGACAGAGTGAAATGGGACCTTAGAATTTAGAAGAAATGAGAGGGAAATAAGACAATTAAGCTTTGATTTTATTTAAAATAGTTACAACTCACTGTAAAGTCAAAGTAAAGAATATTTTTGTATTTGTTTGTCAACACCACTTACTGATTCATATGTTACATGTATTCAAATGTTACATGTATTCAAATGTTGTATTTATTCACATATTTCAGTTTGCACAATTAAGGCTATATTAACTAATCAACTAAGAAAATTCAGGTAACAAACCTTGATAAGGGCCACAGAGGAGTCTGAATTTTATAAAAGGGGATCAGAAAAACCAAGTGTTCTAGTATTTTCAATTATATATTATGTTTATACTACAAGAAATATATAAGTATCTAATTTAACTGATTTTTCATCTCGACATGGTTAAAAATTATTTGTACTTTAAATGATAAACAGATCAAAATTTTAAGATGAGATGTATTTATCATTACATACAGGCATTTACTGTTTATATAATAACTGAGCTTCCTTAAATATAAGTACGATAAGATTTGGTTCACTCTCCTTACACACATAACTAAAGTAAAAATTAAGTAATAATCAAGTTTAGATAAGGAAAGACTCAAAACAGCATTTACTACCTAGTTTTGTAAAATGAGAAGTGTTATATTTCATTTCTGGCAATTTAAAAGTCGATAATTGTCCTTTAGTTTAAATTTCCCACTCTGAATTTCCAGAAGTAAATTCTCTCTAACTTCCTTTTGGCTGTATTTACAATATCGTTATGCATAACACACAATAATAAACTAAATTCAAAATCTCAAGAAAAAAATAAAATTAAGGTGCTTGACATAGAAAATCTGAGTCATACTATGGTGTCTTAGTCTCATCCCAGTGGCTCCTCATTATATCCTCCTCACTCAACCTCTATTGTGTTCCCCTGAATTGAGAGAAAGAAACTCAAGTCTCATATGACTTATATACTATGTAATTATAAAATGATAGTCACAGTTGGTGTTAATGGAGATGGAAGCAGTCTCAGTAAGCACTGTAAGCTCTATGCATTGCTATGCTTCCCTCTGGTGAAAGCTATAATAAATATAGACAATAAATATCTAGGATATGTGAATTTTCTTCTTTTTATCATGAGATCATTAAACCCTAATTTCTTTCAAACTCTTCTGGAAATGTTCTATACTCCTAGGCATAAAAACTGAGGATAAAATGCAACTGTCCCAGAAAACTGATAAGCAAATAAAATGCCTGAAAAAAGATTCTCCTAGGGAGTCAGTCCCAAGTCCAATTCCAGTTGAAAATGTCTGGAAAATAAAATTTTACATTAGATTTTAAAAGAAATGGAAAAGCATAATTTTTCTATAATTTAAACCCTTGGAGCTTGAAATACTATGAATTAGAGATTTTTGCGCTTCAGAACACAATTGCTCTTGTGTAAAATATTTTTTATGAACCTAATAAAAATGTTCATAATGTTCACTGATATATGAATATCATGAAAGACTAAAATGATTATGGAATATAAACTAATACATTTAATCAGAAGGTTTTTCACTGAATAAAAACTCAGGAATCAACCTTATTAGGTACAGGAACAGTGGAAGGAACTGCTGAAGATCAGGCTAACATGAAGAGCAACTAAAGAGTCGATTCAAAGAATTCAATCAATTCAAGAACAAGGAACAGTAAATGATCCTGACAGGTAAGAGGCCTAACGCTAAGATAATATAAAGAAAAAGCACAAGGGAGAAGTTGTAAATCACTTAAACAAAACCGTTGCTGAAGCCTTGGTTTCATGGATGGCCTTCTATGAGGAGTACCCACCACTGAGAGGTGATGGTGAGTATGAAAGCAGTAACGAAACACTGAATAAAAATATTAGGTTAAAAACTGGATATTGATCACTCTTGGTTTATAGCCAATGATTCCATATAAAATAGCTTTTGCTTGTTTTGATTTTAATATATATGTCTGGTCACAATGAAGAAAATATTAAGTAACATTTGGAATTAGAAAAGTCATTTAATCTTACAATGGTCCTCATATACAAGATTTGGGTTTACTAAATAAATATTTATACATTCCTTCCATTAAAGCTTTGTCTTTTAATTCTAAGACTTACTCTCCTAGTTTTCAGAATCCCAGATGACTCAGTGCTCCCTGATTATACTCCATATAATCATTCAGTAAAGGCATATAACCAAATCCTCAAAGACTATTGACCAAAAAGTTCGTTTGGGTTTTTCCGTAAGATGTTTGGCCAACCCAATTAACTGATGGATCTTCACAGGTGACCAAGTTAGTTTGGGATCTGCGGCTGCCATTTCTCCTAGTGGTTCCCAAGGTCGTGGCTCCTTTCTTTCCCTGAGCACAATCCCTTTCTTGGTGGAAATGGCTGTAGGTCTTAGGGAGTTGGGGATTTACACAACCCTCACCCTCCAGTAGACTCAATCTTCAAAGGGCCTTTTCTCTTCTGGGAAATTTATTTGTGGTCATTCTTTGTTGGCCACAGTAACACATTTTTCAAAACATTATTTATTGGACTTGGTATTCCCAGTCCTGGTTTTATTAAACCAAAAAGTATGCATTACTATCTTAATGGAGTCAAAACATTTTCCAAAATAAATTTGTACCTAGTCAACTCAATTCTTAAAATAGGGAAACTCTTTTAGGAAATATAAAAGTCCTTCCCAAGTGCTAGGGTTAGGTTCCTAGATATCCTTGTGATCAGAGAATTCATGATTATAGGATTAAAGAACTATGAGGAATAATAGAGTCCACACTTATGAATGTAAACTTAAAAGTTTATGAAAATGCTTTCATTTTTATGAAACATAGCCCACAACATAAAAATGATTTTCAACATGTTTTAGGCATTTAATTTACAAATAATGCAAACTATTGATTATTAATTTATAAATTCATCCTTACTAGGAACCGATCAGTCAGTCTATCCCTAACTCCCACTTCCAAGATATTTATAATTTGTTTTTGTCTTGTGGAAGATAATGTACATATCAAGAAACATTATATTCTACATTTGTGCTTGCAATCAAATGCTCAAGGCTTTTCTGATTTTCCTTTTACTTCGGGTTTCTAATTCTTGCCTTTCTGATTCTGCTGTAGCCTAAGGAAAACAATAATTTGAATACTTAAAAAGGAAAAAAAAAGTTTGGGGGGACATTTATTCAACCTTCTGGGTTGGTATTTTTGTTTGTACCGCTGTGGCCTCTCCCGTTGCGGAGCACGGGCTCTAGACGCGCAGGCCCAGCGGCCATGGCTCACGGGCCCAGCCGCTCTGCGGCATGTGGGATCTTCCCAGACCGGGGCACGAACCCGTGTCCCCTGCATCGGCAGGCGGACTCTCAACCACTGCGCCACCAGGGAAGCCCTGGGTTGGTATTTTTAAAAAAATGTTTCTTCATTGGCGCTGTTGGCGCAGTGGTTGAGAGTCCGCCTGCCGATGCAGGGGACACGGGTT